GTAGCTGCTACCTATTGCCAAGGTGTACTTTGTAAGACAGCAACAGGCAAAAGCTAAGCTAAAGCTTTGAAGATGGACTTAATATGCATAAATACTCTAATATGTGAAGACAAAAAGATGTAAACAACAAAGAGATGTTTTTTGTAAAAGCCTTTTGCCTTGAATAGTTGATCATGATTCTGGCATGTCAAACAAAGGAGCACATTGGTCATTTTGGATAAAATGACATTTCTCTCACTTCAGCTTTAGGCTTTGTCTAATTGATTCTGCAGAAATCCATCATGTTTTTCAGTTCCCTATGGTGTGTTTTTTTTTTCCCCTTTCTTTTTTCTTTGTAAGCAGCCATATTTATTTTGACACAGCCGGGTCATATGTGTGATTGGCTAATCCACCTGTCAACCTCTCATCTGAACTCTGGGAGATTTATCTGTGACCAGAATGACATACTGAAGAACTGTGTATTCTGAATGAGTAGTTTGAACAAATTAGGTTTTAATGTCTTTATAACATACAATATTTAACTATTCTCTAGACATTTTTCACTAATTACACGATAAATTAAGTAAATAAATAAATATAAACTCATCAAAACTACTGGAATTAAGTTATCTATTCAGAATTATTCATATTTGTACAGTCCTCAATTTCACAACTTCACTAAAATGCTTGACTCTACGAATTGTTGATTCTACTGAGTTTAACCAGGAGTTCAAAGTGTTGCTGAACAGACCCTGTTTTTGTGTCTAGAAAAACATTTCCTATGAACTGCGCATCCAGGGATTTACATAAAAGTTGCACAGCTGAATATGTTCCTTGGCAACCACATTGCACCAGTAAACATTGCATTTATTATTTATACGCTAAGCCAATAAGGTCAGACATTTTTTCCCTCAAATGTTTGCCTTGTAAATAGACTCATTCACATTGTAGAATACGGCAGCTCAAATGGAGTACAAGGGATAATATTTCTTTATTGGTGGTTTTCAGATTGTAGAATGGGATGACGTCATACTCCCATGGGGGGCAACAGTCTGTTTTTCTTATAACACTATACTAAGTTAAGTTAAATTCACAAATGTTAAACCTGATACATTCTTTTAGTGCTTAAGCCATAACCTGGTATATAACAACAATTAAAATCTGGTTTTCATAACATTAAATTTTGTTTCTGGCCATCTGTATTAATGAAAATTGTCTATATAGCAATAGAAAGTTGTGAATTTTAGAAAGAAATAGTTGAACTGTGTGGCTTAATCCTCCCTCTATTGACAAGTATAGAGTATAGTATAAATGATCACTTCTGAATGCTGTGAAAAATGTGGAAAAAAAGGTCTGTGAGCTTTAAGCCATGTTAGAATGTTGTTGCCTCCTCAAAAACATACCCACATTTGCATTTTGTTTCATTCACACATGTTTGAGTAATCCTTTATTATTAGTCTGTCTACAACTCCAAAGCTCAAAATGTTTTGTTCCACCTTGTGATGTCATGAAGCAGTAATTTTCAAGTTACTACCTACCAAGTACCATGTCAATGCCTTTTACTATGTGTTCAGAAGAGATCAGCAGTTCCAGCTCTGAAATTATCCAAAATATTCAAGTGAAAATGTATGGATTAAGGGCCTGTTTACATGTAAACGCTTGCGGGTAAAAATGACAAAATATTTTATCGGAAGTGCCTTTTGATTAGATGGTGAATCTGAAACCACCCTCCAGCATTTCCATCTACACTGCCCAAGATGCAAAACGCTGGTCAGATCTGCTCACGTTTACGTCACATACATCACCACCTAGCCGCCTGGCACGCATACCCAATGGAATTCCACACACTTTTGCATCACCGTATGCACACAGATTTCCTCCCGAAAACACTCGTCTAAACGCAGAATAAAAAGTGAAGACGTGATGCCACTCCTATGTCTTCTGTATTTCCACATGACATCATGAGGTGAAACAGAGTGTTTTCAGTTTGAGAGAAGAAATCATCCTAAATATGCAGGGATAGTTGTTTGTGTGAATGCAATCAAACACAACTCCAGGTCTGTTTGTGATGAGGTAACAACATTATAACACAAATCAGATCAGAAAATAGCGTAATATGGGACCTTTAGATTTTGGTTTTATGATTAAGGACCAGTGATTAGAGATACAGTGTTAGTATTCACTGTAGAGCAGGTTTAAGATAAGTTCATTCTAATTTTGACCTGACCTAAATCTTGAGTAACATTTTAGTTGAGATTAGGGTGACATTTTCTAAATCAAAAACTAGGACAGTCCCGCTTTGAAGTGGTTGGTAATAATAAAATTGTGAAAGGAGTGTGTAATTAAGGAAAATTGTTTTGCACTCGGCCCATGTGACTCAGCATAGTCACGTTTTTCTTTGTGTTTTGGTCATTTGTAAGCTGCTTTTCTGTATTTTACCCAAACAAATGACAACGTATGCCTCTGTTTACTGTTGGTGGGGATCACATTGGTCAAAAATAGGGGCACCTGGGACATTTTTTGTATAGAACTGGGACAAATCAGTGGTTTTGTATAAATCTGCTGGGATAGGGGACACAGGGCGCAAAACTGAGACTGTCCTGGGTGAATAGGGGCGTCTGGTCACTAGGGGTGTAACGATACCCAAGTCTCACGATACAATATCATCACGGTACCAACCTCACTGCACGATATTTATTGCGATATCATGGGAAAGCTCACAATATGGTGGGGAGGCTCACGATTAGGGATGTAACAATATCCAAATCTCTCAGCATGATATTTTCACGATACACTTCTCACGGTAAGATATTTATTGTGATATTTTGTGGAGGCTAACAAAACTGTTAATATGCTACTTTTTCCTCTTAAAATGACTTGACAAGACTTAATCCAAAGAACTAAGACTTAAAAGTGCTTAGGACTGTTATTTCTACTGAGTCTACTGAAATAGAGCAAAGGATCATGGTCTATGTAGTTCCCTCTGTCTTTTTTAACTATTTGCTTTTTATTTATTTATTTTTATTTGTTTTATTTTATTTATTTATTTTACTTATTTTATTTATTATTATTAATTTAATTAATTATTTATTTTATTTTATTTATTTATTTATTTTTTATTTTTTATTTTTTTTTTTTTTGCTTTTGCTGCACCATAACTCTTAATTTAAGCAAAGAGACTTATAATTTGATATATTGTGATGGTCCACGATATTACTGTGAGAACTTTGACGGTACGATATCATGATATTTCTGTTATTGTTACATCCCTACTGGTCACCCTAGTTATGATGCATTATTTTTCTTAATAGCTTTGGCCTTAATAAAAAGGAATGCGGCGGCGTAGCATTTTTGACGGTGAGAAAGCTAGACTCTGCTGTGCAATCACCGTAAAAGTCGAAATTGAAAACAGCACGGGCGAACACTAACACTAATAATCTGTAAAGAGCGTTCACACATACGGGCGTTAAGAGAGTTAGCGCTGGTGATTTCTCCACGGGCCGGTGACCACGTGAGGGGAGTTTGTTTTCGACGTAACGTGCTGCTGACTGGTTGTGTAGAGAATCATCAAAATGAAATCAGTTTCGCTTCCCTCTGTGTCGCTAAATCAGCCGTACACTGTTATTAGGAAAAACATCAAAATAGTATTTACTGTGGGACCTGAGCTGACCGGTGAATTATGAACTGATAAAAAAATAAAGGAAAGCATTTTGGACCCTTTAGATTGTATTAGGCCTGTCATTCACACACACAACGCATTCATACTAGGCAATGTAGGCCGAAGGATACAACAGTACACACTAAAACCACAGCCACCCCATTTGGACATTCCGTAACTGTTACCTAGCAACCATTACATTAACAATTGCCAAAACTTGTCTAAATTACACCACAGTAAAGATTAGACTGATGAAAATGAATGACAACACCTTTATTTTGTTAAATGAAGGTTTAAACTGTGAGAAAAATACCTTCCTTGGGTGCAAATCATCCTTGTGTTTCCGTGTTGATGACAGAGGCAGAGGTATTCCACTTTAGCACTCACCACTACTTATTTCTGTACGTGTCTTCACAACTTTTTCTCACAAACTGCCACTTAACTGATGTAAAACTATGATTCAGAAAGTAAATGTAACATGTCTTTAATGTTAATTGCTTAATAAATCCACTGACTATATCCTCAGAAAACGGGCCAGTGACAGGAAAAGTAAAGCAAAGTAAAAGAGAAAGCGCTTGAATGACGCCGGTCCATCAGTCCACTCTGCATTTGATGTAATACTTAAACTTAAAAATGCATCTATAATTCAATGTATTAAATATGATTGTATTTACTGATGTTTTTATAGGTAAAAATGACAGAGAGACGTGAAAAGCAACACTGGGAAACATTCTTTGAACTGCACTGCAATACTGTTTAACTGTATTATGACTACATGACTGTGACACACTTCTCTCACAATAAAATGACTGCAAACAGAACTTCCTTTTTTGATTGTGATAAGCTATACAGGTCTAAATACTAAAAAGTAATTCTATATTCAGCCTAAAACTTGAATTGTGAATGTGATGTGGCAGGTTTCACGCCAGATGCCCTTCCTGAGGCATCGTGCACACTGGTGTATCAATGTGTGTGTGTACGAGTGAATGATTTCTTAATTTAAAATGCTCTGAGTTCCTAATTTAAATTAAAGAAAGTGCTAGATGTGTCCAGATTATGACCTCACCTTGTGCTGACTATAACACTGTCAGTAACATTTAAAGGTCACACCTAAAATAAGACATTTAAAACACATTTTATGTTTTGTTTTAGTTCCATTAGAGTCTGTGGCATTGGCTAAACACAACTCTACTGTTCAGGGCAGTGTGGCCAGAGTATTGGGTTACCTCTTTACAATGATGCAAATGTGATTATGTAAGAGACGATTTGAGGAACGAATGAGATCGCTTCTTATGATGAACAGAAATAAAGAATTCTAACGATATGAATCTTTAATATATGAAAATGGAAAGTGTCACCTTACCTTCGACTTGAACAGGTGTAAGTGGAGCGTTTGGGATGTAAGCTGCTACCTGTGAGACAGAATGAGCTTTGAGGCCAGCGTATCCTAGCACACTGCAGGGGGGAGGGGAGTGGACAGGTGAGGGAGGAGCATGAGAGCCAGCAGGTGAAGGGGGCGGAGCCAGGCGTGATGCATTCAAGGACCAAACCTGCCTAACCTGCTCCTGCACCTGTTGAATGGACACACACCTTCCCTAGGAATATGAAGTGGCTATTTTAATCTTTTGCCATAAGCACACAGATATGGAAGGATAATGAACAATGAAATATGAATTATGTCTTGTAAATATTGACGTACAAGACTATTAATACTATATCACTTCAATTTCTTTGTATTCACTTGAATGTACATTGTGTAATTTTTCTGCTAGGGATTTAAGGAAACAATTGGATGAATTATGTCATAATACAGTCTGTACAGTACAGTACAATCTGTATCTTCAGGTATTAAATATGTGCATATAAAATCAAGATTTTTCATTTTTAATATTGATATTGTATATATTGATATATTTTAAAGTTGATGTAATCACAGTGACATAAACTTTTATGAGTCAGCAGCCTCTTTCCAGCATCTCGAGCAGTCATGAAATAGAGCTAGAGCAGTTTGTACTTGCTAGTTGTTAGAGCTCAAACATAAACTATACTAACTTGGTAGTTGTAGTAATAGTAGTACTAGGGCTGGGTATCATTCAGAAGTTGCCGATACGATACATACCTGGATACATAGGCCACAATACGATACATATCTTGATACAGTGAGCTTACGATTCGATAAGATTCAATACGGTATATTTCAAATGGATTCAATTCAAAATAAAGGCTAAATCATGGCTGTGATCCTAAAGGTCTTCGTTAAACCACTTCTTCTACAAAGTTAATATGAAATATGGCCATTTTAATCATCAAAACTGTGAAAATGTCAAATATGTTGCATAAATGAGTTTCCTTCCTCTAAAGTAACAAAACTGTAGCACTATAACAAAATAATTTGACATGATTCAATACGATATATTTCAAATGGATTTGATACGGTTCAATTAAAAATAAAGGCTAAATAATGGCTTTGACACTAAAAACTTAAACCACTTCTTGTGCAAAGTTAATATGAAACATGCCCATTTTAATCATCAGAACAATGAAAATGTCAAATATGTTGCATAAATGAGTTTCCTTCCTCTAAACAAGCAACAAAACTGTAGCTGTAACAAAATAATTTAGTAAAATACACCAGAAAATACTCTTGGTGATATATCGATACAACAGTCCACGATATCGATACTGTATCATCACATTAAACGATACGATATATCGATATTTCCATATTTTTGCACCCCCCCAAGTAGTACTAGTAGAAGAAGTAGTAGTAGTGATGTAGTAGTAGTATGGCAATGGCAATATAAAAATAATCAATATAGATAAATCACATTCAGTTTTATATAAAACTGTTAGAACTAAGTAAGTATTTTCTGAACCTTTTCTAACATAAACAATACAAATGTTTAATTTTTACTGGCATTTTAAATAAAAATTGTCATCCTCCAAAGTCTGAACTATGCACCATACAAAAATCTTTAACTGTCCGAGGATTAAAAAGGGCCAATTAATGATGATTTTAAAAAAACTACTGACTTACTGAATATTGGTGTTGATTAAAATTCTATTAATTGTAAAGCCATAAAAAGTTACAATTTCTAATGGCGAAGATGCAATTTGTATATTATAATAATGTTTTTGTGAAAAGTAGCTCATGGATTCACTTATCCTCCTATATTACACAAAATTGACTCTTGTAAGCTTCAAAATCATACTATTTTGTTTTGTTTCATTCACATATTTTTGAGTAACCCTTTATTATTAGTCTGTCTACATCTGCAAAAGCTCAAAATGCTCTAATCCACTTCCTGTATTACCACAGGACATAACAAGGTTCAACAGGGTGTTTTGTGTTTGAGAATGAAACTAAACAACAGCGGGTATGTTTCCGATGAGGAAATGACATTATAACATAGATCAGAAAACAGCGTAATATGGGCCCTTTAATAGCGCTTTAAGCGGTTTCCTGTGTTATCATATAATGCTCATATCACATGGACTCAGCCGGTTGTTTCTATTGGAAGGCGTCATTACCAGCAGACCATCACAAACTCATAAACAACTTGCATCACCAACATTTCTTATTCCGTCCCTGTGGTCTCCATCTGTAGATCTAGGGTTGCCAGGTTGGTGCCGTAAATTCCCTGAAGTGGGCGGAGTCTAACTCTTCTACTCGCTCTTTAGCCGCTTCTCTTTTGCCCTGGTTAATTGTCGCCATGGTTACTGGGAGGTTGGAGCTTGGGTTACGTCCACGCCTCTGTGCCTTTGAGCTGCGCACTGACGTGGACTTTTGTTTTCTCTGTGAGGAGTGACTCATTGTGACGCACAGGTCTCCTGGAGATGAGATTGCTGGCTTTTATGTGGATCTGGTCAGGATGTTATGTACTAAACTTTGTAAATGTAGGGATTAAATATTGTTGCAGCTAAAGTTATATGACGCTTCATGTGGCTTAAAACAGTCCAGGGATTTTAAATGTGAGTATTTGGAATAGCTAACCCAGTTAACCAAATTATTATTAAATTACTCCCCACACTGGTTGTAAACTGTAGCCACAACTGACCTGGGGCAGAGACATGGCTGCCAATCAACACCTATGGTCACATGGTCAAAGGTCACATTTTAATATACAGCACTTTTCCACCTTCAAGTCACTCAAAGCGCTTTACATCAAGGAACCAATCACCCATTCACACACACTCATATACCAGTGTACGCAAACACTGGGGTGAGGTGGGTTAAGTGTCTTGCCCAAGGACACAACAACAGCATTCACCTATGGGAGCTTGAATTGTAACATCAAACTGTGCACCAGTGGATCTGACCAATGCTCAGCCAATGGTGTTTATGTCAAGAGCAGTATTTGAACCGTCAACCTACACTCTCAATGAATCTGACCACTATCAATAACTCACTCCACATCATTGCCCATGGACACAATGGAAATAAGAACTTGCTGGCATAGATAGAACGGCTAACATTACAACGAGACAAAAACTCCTGAGCCATTGTTGTTCAAAGCTACATCCTGCTCCAGGAAATGTTTATCTTACAAAAATGAAGATAGTAAAAGATAAGAGAACCTTTATTTGTCCCATAATGGGGAAATTCCAGTGTTGCAAAGCACAGTTCAAAAACAACAGAATAGAAAAACGCCATCAAAAATCAAGACAAATAACTGTGGCCCATATTTTGCAGTATTCTGATCTATTTTATGATGTTGTTTCCTCACCAAAAATACACCTGGAGTTTTGTTTCATTCACACGTTTGACACAAATGCTGCATATTTAGACTGATTTCTTCTCTCAAACAGAAAGCGAGATACAAATTCACTAGAGTCATTAGGATTTCAGCCCTGAAATTTCCAGTCTTTTCTGAACTAAAGGTAAAAGGTAGCTGTTAACTTGAAAACTATAGTTTCATGACATCACAAGGTTAAACAGAGCATTTAGAGCTTTGGAAATGCAGACAGACTAATAATAAAGAATTACTCAAACGTGTGAATGAAAAAAGACACAACTCCAGGTACGTTTTTGAGGAGGTAACAGCATTATAACATGGCTTAAAGCTCGCTAGACTCAATTTTATGTAATATAGGACCTTTATATCTAACACAATACTGTGCAAGTAGAGCAACAGCACAATGGCTGTGTTTATGTAAAGTAAAGCATATGTGGTTGCAGGCCATGTAAGATGAGAATTCAGGTATTTGCAGGTCACTACTTTTTAATTCTGTCCAACAATGCTGAGGTTGGCTGTACAGTTCATCTGATCTTCCACCTCCTGTCTGTACACATTATTGGTCTGGCATGTCTATTATTAAGCCTGGATATCATTAAGAAGTTGCTGATACGGAACATGCCTCGATACATAGGACATGATAAAGTTTGTTTTTCGATATGGTGCATGTTCAATTCAATACAATACATTTCAAATCGATTCTGTACGGTTCAGTAAAAAACAGTAAATCATGGCTGTGACACTAAAAGTCTTAATTAAGCCACTAATTTTGTGCAAACTCATCAAAACAGTGAATATGTACAGTATAGCGTAAACAAATTTTCCTTTTGTAGCTCTTTCACAAAATAATCAAGTCAAATATACCAAAAAAATACTCTTGGCAATATATTGATGCAACAGCCCACGATATCGGTACAGTATCATCAAATTAAGTGAAACAATATATCAATACATCAGTATTTTTGCACATCCCTAGTTATTAAAATGTAAGGTTTGATTTCAGAGGGTCTTCTTCTTGGTCTTCTCAATAAGAAAACTACATCACTTCCATCATAGATAAGACAAGATTATGCAACAATCTGTTCACGCCAATCATAAGACCAAACTGCGCATTGGTGCCATATTGAATCTAGCTGCCAATTTACACAAATGTAAACTCCAAAGAAAATATGCATTCGCTGCTCGGATATCAGAAGAGCCCCAATCTTTACAGTCAGATGGTGCTGGAATGTCTTCAACAAATGACATCGTCCAAAAGAGCAGCGTGAATTTGACTTTGTTATGAATAAAATGCTAATTTGTGATTTGTGATTAGCATACAAGTAAAATATAATGGATTCCAAGAAATCTTCAAGCAGCTGAAACTTGAAAATTGCTTTTAACTGTCTGAAATGTTTGATGTGTATGGTAATATTACTGAACAAAATATTTTGAGCTATCAGTGTTTATATTAATAACTATCTCTGACTGTTATAAGCAGACATGAACCTTTTAACATTCAAGGCTTATGTTGCAACACTAGCCATCATTAGCAGCATAGATTGTATATATAAATGGACATAGCTAACACTGTAAGCCGCCGTGTTCCAAGTAAGAAGTGACATGCCTCCGGCTCCACCGACTCCAATTCACCCCTCTCTCTGTGTTCGTATTCACACGCTCTACATGATCCTGGTGTTTTTATTTTGCTATATTATCCATAAATC